GGCTTGTACACCCACTTACGGCCGCCGCTGATCGTACGTGTGCTTGTACGAACTTTTGTTGCCCCGACCTGCGCCTCGGTCCCGAGCTCCGGCCAATTTGCAGTAACTCGACTCTCGGTCAGTGACTGACTAAAACTGGAAATTCGCGGTTGCGGTAAGAAAATATACGGGATTCAGGATTCTCGTTGTAGTAGCCTGAATCTGCAGATACGGCGTCGTTTACTACCTACAAGTTGAATTAGGAAGAAAATGTATGTAGCCGCGTTACACAACCATATGCTGCGAGAAGATAGATTCGAACTGCAGGTATTTCTTTGAAGATGAAGCAGAACGTTTAGGGTAACTGGTGTGTTCCGTGCTTGGTATATGGACGAATATATGTATATAAAGTAGAAAACTGGCAAAACCTTTTTCATTTCGATATTTTCAAAATAAAGATTCGCAGACGCGAAGAAAGATCCAATTATCATCCGTGTTACATGTCACGAGAAATCAGGATCGCTTGCCTTCCTCTTATACTCTCGTCCCAACGTGACAAGCGGTAAATGGCAAAAGCTAAATCATCTTTTATGCCAAGTGAGAACAACACGAAGAAAGAAACCTCTTGAAATCTCTCGGTTCTCAGCTTAGAACACCTGAACCACAGAACGAAAGAATTAAAGAACATCAAACAAAGAGGGTGGTTCAAATCCGACGCTGTACCGTGGCAAGAATACGAGCGAGTCAGGTAGAACCGTAACAGCGTGAAACGCGTGCCCATAACTTGGAAACGTCAAGACGTTGGTCCTAGTAAGAAACCCATTAGATATTCGAAATTAGATATTCAGAGGCGCTAAAAATCTTCGTTACGCTCGTTTTTTACGCGCAACTGAGTGTTCGGCAATAATATTTGTTAGGATCACGTCCTAATGTTCCTCAATATCACCAATAATCGTACAATATGACGGTACTGGGATTATGAAGGAGTGACACGTGTTAGATGGATGATTATGGGTTCCTCTTAAATGAAGTACGACACTTTTTTATTGCGATATATATTTCGCAATGCCGTGGTTACGATGGCTGTTCTCTGTTTTACTATATTTGAAAGTTATGAATTGATAGCTAATAAGGTTTGACCTAGTAAGTGAGTGAGACTAACGAGGATAGGTAACGCAAGCATGCGAGGATAGGTGACGGCGTATAAGCAGCGGAAAGTTAGAAATGTAGCGTGATGCGAGAATGCGATTAAATACGGCACTTAATTAAGGTTATTTGATTTCTTGATGGAAATAAAATGTGCCTCGGAGTATAATATCGGTGAACGCGAAGCTTGAATAATATATGTGGTAATTTTCAGTACCGATGCTGAATGTGTCGGCGGTGGCTGGCTTCAAAGCTCAAATACCTTGCGACATCGATCCAGCGAGTAGAAGCGAGGTGGTGAGCATGGTTTTTTGGTACAAAGACGAAAGGGACGGCGAGCCGATATACAGTCTAGATGCTCGCGGCAAATCGATAGCTCAGGCGAAGCTTTGGTCAGATTCATACGTATTCGACGAAAGGGCGACCATGAGGACGAACGTGGATCCCGCGAAATTGGAGATCGATCCCTTGGAGGCAACCGACGCGGGCGTGTACAGGTGCAGGGTGGATTACAAAAATAGCCCGACGAGAAATCAGAAGGTTAACCTCACGGTGATAGGTGAGTGTGTTCTATCTCTCCTTTTACAGTGTGTTTCATCTCTCTCTCTCTCTCTCTCTGTTACTCTTTCCACTTGATGATCAATCGCGATTAATTGCTTTCATTCCGAAACTCGATGCTATCTCGACGTTGTCGCTTTTAATTTCGAACTTTTTAGTTTTGCAGCTCGCCTTTTGCTCGTTTTCGGTTATTTCATGAGATTTAGTTTTAACGCCTGGAATTGAAAATTCCGCGGATTAAAAGAGAAATGTCAGAGAATTTTATTAGCCGAACAGATCCGACTTTCTTCGTTGCGACAGGGACGATTGTCGATAGCTAGTCACCGCGACGTGAAAATGTTTGTTCAATCGCAAGTACAGATGCTAGAAAGACGATTAATCGAAATTTTGTTAGCGTGTTTCATAGATGAGAATGTGTCGTTAAGCTTTCGTATGTACGTAATCGGTTTTCGCTTTATATCTATTCAGAATTGTACATTAGAACGAGATACCGATTAAAGCGGAGTTATTTTAACGAAATGAAGTTTTCATCAGAGAAACGCCATCTTCGCATCTGTTGCTTTGTAACCGTGCGATCCGAGTCACCATCGTTACAAGATAAAGGGAAAGCTTATTTTTATATAACATTTTCTATAACAAGTTATACAGTCGTAAACATCCAGGATAGTACGTACGACGTATCGTCTTTATTCGATTGCAACATATAAACATAATCGCGTTGTTGAAACTCATTATGTTACGAATATCTTGTTACTCTTAGACACCGACGCGATGGTAACGCGATTTTCACTTAATTAATTGAACACGGTACGAGAGCTCGACAAATATTACATATTATGGCAATTTCGTGGCGTCGCTGTTATGCGGATAAAGAATCGTTCGTTTGTATATTTTTTTTTAAGTAACATGCGTCTTCGTTTTACGGAGCGTCATCTCCAGCAGTTTTATCATGCGCGTATGCAGCGTGTACTTATGCAAAAGCCATTTCCCCGTAATTTAGCGCTGTTTCGTGGCGGCAGGATCATTTATGGCGTTTAATTACATTCATCTCGTTAATACCAGATACGGTAGATTTCACAGTTTCTGTTTCTAGAATAAGAGATGGCATCTAACGACAAAATGTAATAAACAAAGCAACGGAACGTTCATTGTGAGATTAAGATACCTAGAAATTTTCCTCTCTTCTCTCTAATTGCTCTGAGGTTAATATAACGTTGATCTATTTAAATCTGCTTAATAAAACAGTTACTTTGTAACGCAGACACTTGTACGATATCATAGATCAGATCGTTGTACAAATCCTAGATGTTCGTACAATTGTTTAGCAAAATTCTGCGTATAGCGCGAGTTGCGCGATCGAAGCAATTAAAAAACCATTGAAAATAAATTTCTCCGTAAGCAAATAACGTGTGCCGGGGAAATCGTTCGAAAGATTTAAAGAAGAAAGATACTCGCGGTATTATGACTTACGTAAATTCGTCCTTACGACAGTGCCACCGAACAAGCCTGTGATTTACACCGGGCCGGGTAAAAATTTGGCCAAGGTATTGCAGCCCTTTAACGAGGGTAGCGAGTTGTCGTTGTCGTGCGAGGTAATCGGAGGTTCACCGCCACCCAAAGTCACGTGGCATTTCGAAGAGGAAACGGACGACACGTACACGTTAGAACACGGGGACACTACGATAAATCATCTCGACATCACGAACGTCACCAGGAAGTTCCTCAGAGCTAGGCTAATTTGTCGGGCAAGCAACACGCATCTCGTTGCTCCTCTAACTTCCGAGATTATTTTGGATATTAATTGTAAGTAAGAAACTATTTCAACTTGTTAACTGTCTTACCGAATGTTTAGCTTCCGTAAAGAGCTACGTCCTAATTTGTCAAAGTTTCCAGCTTATTAATAAACCGCGGTGTTTCTGTAAACTTTGCGATGATCCAGATACTGCATGTCGAAATACGGGATTAGTCGATGAGCACTCTTGCTCATCGGAGTTGTGCGTCGCTTTGACTTGTTACACAGGATGCCCTATACGATTGAGACAAGCTACGTACATTTCAAATAGCGATATACGTGTACGCGTTGTATTAAAAATGTCGAAATTTTATTAGCACCGTAACGAGAGCCGACTATCGTGATTACGTCGATTAAATTTGGAACAAACGCGAGAACATGTTCCAGCAATCGCGGCACAATCGGCGATGAGGTGATTGTACGTTGAAAAACGATAAAACGGAACAGAGAAAACAAAGAAAAATAGAGAGAATACAGTTTTTTCGCGTGATATTTCGTTTTCGAGAAAATGCAGTTTGAAAATTTATCGAGTAGACTTGGACCTGGCTAATTCCGGACTAGATAGGAGCAAGTAATGCAATATGCATTATTGTATACCGCGTTATGAGAAGAATTCGAATAGTACGCGTCGATGTGATACGACAACGAGTGCACTCAAATTTATAACGAAGATAACGAATTGGTTATTTTATGGGGAGGAAAATATGACTCGAAGAAAATGAGATTCCATCGTGGGATTAAAGTTTGGAGAAGAAAGTTGAAATGAATTCTATGTAGCGTGAGATTAAGGACGATAGGAATGGAAGATAAAAGCGTAATGAATAAACATTACTTTTTATTTCTAATAATATATGCATATATATCGATTGCTGTAAGGATCAGGGCAACCGACGTGTGTGAAGAAGATCAGACATTCAACGGAGATTGAACGCCTCTCGATCTCTTCTTTTTCTTGTAATATTCTTAATATAATACACGTTATAAGATAAAGAAACGACAAATAGAAAGATGTTCGTCAATCGTATTTCCATATCGTCGCTTTTTAATCTCATCGAACATAAAATTTATTTTAGCATTCCACCGAAAACAGAGACGATAACGTAATTATCCGCAAATGCTATCCACGATGATTTGAAATGTTGCTCCTTTTTGGCGATGAAATTTTCAAGAGAAAATCTCGATACCGTAAATTATATTGCATTCGTAACTGCTTTAAAATAACATAGGTATCGCTCGACGAACGACGTTCCAAATTTCATTGCAATTTACTAAAAAGCATATTTTTCCATCGAAATATCCCTCTATGTAAATCGTGTTGGATTCCAGTGAAACCGTTAGTAGTGAATATTACGAACAAAGAAACGCACTTGTCGGCGTTAAAAACGTACGAAGTTGAATGCGCCAGTTCGGGTTCCAGGCCAGAGGCTGTGATCACTTGGTGGAAGGGAAACCATCAGGTCAAACACATGGCCAGAAATGTGAGTAGAACATTTTTGAACTTATACCAGCCGCGGTTCGTTTCTACCTTTGTAAGACAGGTACACGTGAGCTTAGATTCTGAGTTCTTCGTAGTTTGCAGATAGTCCGAACATCACGAGAAGCGTGTTGAGTTATGTACCCACCATGGAGGACGATGGAAAATATCTGATCTGCCGGGCGGAGAATCCGGTTGTACCTAACAGCGCCCTGGAAGATAAGTGGCGACTGCTAGTTCACTGTGAGTAAAGCGAATTTTCTTTAAACTGTGACACGATGACGGCGTTACAAGGGATTTTTAAAACTAGTATTTCTTTTTTAGTAAATATTTAGGCATGTTTTGCGTTGCTAAATTTAAATATCACCCTTCTATGTATATTACGCTCTTTTGTTTCAACTTTCAACTATGTTTCAACACTGCCTAAAATGGTATTACTTTCTTGGTAAATTTATTTTCAATATGCCACTAATTTACAGTATTTTCGTTTCATAAGCCGTTTCTTTATTTCCACGAGTATGTACTCGCTTCTGGCCATCGAATTTAGTTATTAGAACAGCGAGTAGGGAAACGTGTAATACCTTGACCGAAAGCTCACGATTCAAGGATTACAATGGCGCTGATCCGAAGTGGCAAACTCAGCATATTGTTATAAGTAATAAAAAATTCACAAAACAAAATACAAAAATATCATTCGAGGCTGGTTTTTCAAGTTATAAACGATAGCGTTTTACGTTGAAACTATAATGGTATCGATGGATCAGTCGACGAACCTTTCTATCTCACTTACGATTTACGTTTTCGACTCTGATATAGATTGAAATCTTATCCCATGTCATTTGTTCCAATTGGTGTATTTTACAACAAGAAATATGAAATACGAGAGAGATAGGAAGAAAGATTTATCGATACTAGTAGGTGTGTCTAATATACTAGTAGGAATTGTCCCTAATGGTACTCTTACATTGATTTATCGCGCATAAAATTCCCAGATGCACCAATAGTGACGATCAAGCTGGGCTTGAGCTTGAAGGCAAACGACATAAACGAGGGCGATGACGTCTACTTCGAATGCGACGTTCAGGCGAATCCCAAAGCGTACAAGCTGGCATGGTACAAAGACGGCAAGGAGCTGCATCAGAACTCGACTGCTAGAATTTTTCTTCCCAGCGGACAATCTTTGGTTTTGCGAAGCGTGACTAGAAATTCCGCCGGCGAATATTCTTGCATGGCAGTCAATGTCGAGGGGAAATCTACCAGCAGACCGGTAACCTTGGACATAATGTGTGAGTAAATTTTTACATTTTTTCTTCTAATCGATTAATATCTCTAAATACGCGAAAATCAGGTATTCAGTGAAAGATCGGTAAAAAAGATGGGTAAAATGCTCGAATGAATTGGATATACGTATCGCATTTATTTTATAATCGAGCAATAATATAACGAAATGAAAACAATTTTATCATAAAATATAAGTACAGTAAGTAGAAAAAAGAAATGGTATTTTTTGAATTTTATTTCATGCATTGTGTCTTGCCAGGAGAGTGTTTTCTGCCATTGAGCTATCCAGATCATTGTAATTAAAGCACCGTAACTATAGAACAACTTCCAAATTTCTATTTCGAACAATAATCGAGCGGTAAATGAAATAAAAATTTTCCTACAAGATTTTTAATTTCTCACCTATTTCTATGTTCGCCACGGTAGATGGACTTTAAGATCGTGAGCTCGTAATTCGGTTAGGGTTTCGGATTCGCGTTGACACGATACATTGGAGATGTGTCCGATCTGATTCTCAGACGCGCCTGTCTGCAAAGACGGCTCATCTACCCAAGTTGTCGGCGCCTTGAAGCACGAGACGATCTCGCTGGTATGTGGCGTGCAGTCGAAACCGCCGCCCATCACTTTCCACTGGACCTTCAACAATTCCGGCGAGCTGATGAACGTGCCGGCCAACAGATTCACGCAAGTGAAGCCGCTCAGCCTCATCACTAGCCACTGGCATGGATCCAGGTTGAACTATACTCCAGCAAACGACATGGACTATGGCACGGTTGCCTGCTGGGCGAAAAACCGGATAGGGGTGCAAAAGACGCCCTGTCTTTTTCAGATCATCGTCGCCGGGAAACCTTATCCCCTTCAGAATTGCACGGCCCTCCAGTCGACCGGTCCGTACGCGTATCGAATGGGTAAGCGACACTGGAACCCCTCGTTTCCACCTAAACGCCGCTAACTATGCTATTACGTACGCCCGTCATATAGGAGGATACTAGCTCGCTCTCGATAGCTTCGTACGCTATGTTCAACAGCTTGTTTTCCGGCGTTCCCTCGACAAGAGACAAGATGTTCGGTCGTGCGTGAAAACGATCGTAAAATTAGGCAACCCCTTCGGGGATCGATTGCCGTGCGTTTCGAAGGGCTGCTCGGTTTTTCGTTACAGGAAAGCGACACTGCAGATGGGGAAGTTCGACGCTGTTTGGTCTTGCTTTACCGAGGAGACGCGTTAAACGTTGTTAGGCTACTTTTCCTCGTTTTACGTCCAGTCCTGTCAGGCCGTTATTTCGCAACCAAGTACTTTTCTCTTCGATGTAGATTATAGCTCTTAAGCCGTTGAAGCAGTTTATTATTAAGGTTTCTATTGCGCTTGTTGTTACAGTCGTATCGTAACTGAGATTCAGATTTTAGGTAGACTACCTGGTTAAATGCTGCGTTATTTTATGCTATTTAGGTCAGCAGATTGTTTAACGAATAATTTTTGTCGTAATTCTTGTCGTAATTCTTCTAAATAGCTTTTACACATTTTTACAGCGCTCTAGAGCTTTATCTTGCGTGAATACGAAATTTTGCCCGATTTATCGTTTCCTTAGTACCTTCAGCTAATTATTACGCATTATGTAAGATCAGGAAGTAGCCTCATAGCTATGAAAAGAGGTGTACACACATGTGTATAGTTATAACGCAGATATATCAGGCGAAATGAAACTGTGAGTCACAGCGTTTTTGCATGCAATCCTTTTTTTTTACAAAAGGACTTGTTTCATCCACGTCCTTCGTTAAAAGATAACGTCAGCATGATAAATAATAATAATTACGTAATAATACTGTTGTACAAGTACAGAGTCAAAAACCGCATAAACAAACACATGAAAAATAGCAATTTTTCTATCTTGATTATGGAAATCTTCTAATCATTCGTATCTTCATTCGTTCCAAAGATGTTAAATAGTTTTCTAATCTAAATATACAATTAAATAGATACTTGAATATTAAATAATTAAATATGTAAATAATTAAATACAGCGAAGTACAAATAGACTATTACAAATTTAGATTTTACGCAGTATAATAATTTCCAAAGCGAGCAAGCCACTCGGTTTAGACGACAAATTATTCATATCTTTAAAAATATTAATTTTTCGACCCATATTCGTTAAGAGTTCTCTCTTTTATGTGGCAAGTACTATCTACCCTCGATTTTCCGAATTCTCTTTTTCTCTCGCGTATAACAGCGCGGACATCCTTCTCGAAACCATTCACCACATTTTTCCATGAAATAGGTCACGAGGATTTCAAAGCCACCGAATCGAGGGATGCGGATTGGTTGATCGTCAGATGCTCGGAGGGATTTGACGGCGGTTTGCCCATAACTAATTACGAGCTGGAGGTGTATAGCGAGGAGAACGTTTATCACTTCAATACCTTTTACCTAAACCACACAGAGAGATCCAGCTCGTCCGGTCCGGTTTTTGAGGTTCCTGGTTTAGAGACCGGTCGTAAATATAGGCTTCATCTTTACGCTGTCAACGCAAAGGGTCGAAGCGACCCTGTAGTCCTTGAACCAGTCACGCTCAAAGCAGTCGCTATGTACACCACCGGTAAGTTCTACGAATGTTTTCCTTTCTTATTGACGTCAAAAGTGTGCAGGATGTAGAAGTATTCGGACCCTTGCTAGTTACGCGTTTACTGGAAAATGTATCTAGCAAATTTGGTACTTTATTTGGTATTTTACATTATGAAACACATATGATACAAAAGGTAGGTTCGTAATAGAATAAATAGAAAATATACAACACACTATTATATTATCTACGACATTAGAATCATTTCCAACTCCGTTTCCAGCATGTAAGTACATTAATCCCCTAATTTACGAATATCATACAGCTCGATATATTCGCTGAATACGAGCAAAATGAAAAATTCGTCAATACACACTCTCTCCATTGATTCGACGATATTATAAATGACGATATTACGAAACAAAATTAACGCGTATCTCGAAATGCAAACAGACACGATCGATAATGTCGTGTTACCCGCGGCAATATCCAGTTACTCGAGCAATTATACGGAACTTGGTAAATCGAACGAATTCATTTCCATCTTAGCTCGTGAAAACCGCTGGAAAACCGAAGGGCGAACGTCACGATCGTATTCAGCCTGGGGTACAGAAACGGTGAACACGAACGAGGTCCTTTGGCAAGAGGGTACGCGTCCCTGACATTTGTCACGTCTCTCAATTAGCCGGAATTGTATCACGAGCTGAACGGGCCGTAGCATCGCATTGCGAGCTTGGTCCGTGCGTTTCACGAGCGCAATTATACGCGTATCCGCGATCATTTCAAGCTCTCTTTGGCCGGAGTCGCCTTTCCCTTTCCGTGCGACACGTTTCTTCGTATCCTCCTTTCCCGCGGAGGTTGAATTAAAATCCCATAAAGAGCGAGTCCCTTTCCTCGCTGCTGTCTCATTCGAGGCGCATTTATCGCCTTTAATTTCCATCCTCATGGTTTATTCATCTCGGTCCGTGGACGATCTCGGCTTGTGTGCGCAAACGTTCCCCGCTCTTCTTGGATAGGTATTCGTTCCTGTACATGCACGTATAATGGTGTGTACGTGGACAGGCACGTTCGCAACACGAGCTCATCTCGGATCTCGGCCTGTATACGTTCTACTGATAATGCGAAGCTGGTCTGCACCGCCTCGAACCTCCAACCCTGTCGTCAACCTTTGCGAACCTCTTCGGATCCGTTTCAACCAGTTTCGCCGAGTCCATGTCATTTCCTCCTAATGCGTCCCGTTAAGAACCGCAGGTTAGTGCTTTTATAAATGCGAATGCTCGCTCTGAACGAAATGAATTCGTTCTGTATCGCTCTGGTTCGTTTGAACGGCGTTTATTCGGCGAGCTTTCGTTTGTTCGTTACATTTTTTCATTCACGGTGTCATTATGGATACCTTGGTCAATTCGCAGTGAGAATACACTGTCGGTTGTTTGGTGTATCGTTGATTAATACGTCGACCAAAACGTCGACGTACCTGCTCACGAACAGAACGCAGGATTCATTTTCCATTCAATTAAAAAAATGTTCATCTATATTATTATGTTCTGATCCTATTTCTCTTATCCGAATTCACGTTGTTCGAACGTTCTATCGTTTAGACACCCTATATGTATATGTACGTACGTATGTGTAGAATCTGGTTTACGTTTAACAGTAGAAGCATTTGCATAGCATTCTAATATCCCAGACGAAAACGCGTTATGCTAACCACAGTAACTGGATGTGAAATAGTGAAGGTGTTTGAGGATAATAGAAATATTGTAATACGACATGTGGTCTTCGGGATATTAGAAAGCGGAGAAGTGCTGTTAAAAACAATTTACATTACGCTAGGAGGTAATTTTTGTGAAATGATCTTTTAATACCTATCATGTTGAGATTGTACGTGATATTTTATACGCTTTGAACAATGAAACTGAAAAAGTTTACGTGTCTCAACCTCTTGCATCGTTTCAAGATCTACGAAAGATAGATAGATCTACAAGATAGTACAAGACACTAAGGAGGCTTAGATCTATTCGATATAATCCACCAAAAGAATAATTCTATGATATTGTTACAGAATGATATACGCGCAAACGAACTCGGATAATATTTCTTGATATTTTCCTAATTATTATTTACATAATCGAAGATTCTACCCAAGTACGTATATACATATTTTGTTTGCAATTATTTTATTCAGATTTCATCATGTGCAGTTTCGTAGTTCCATTGCGTTAATGTTCGTTATTCCGCGTAATATGAAATGTAAGTAATACGACGAGTATCAGGATTAAAATTTGTCAACGTGATTAATAATGACTTTTTTGTAAACGTGAATGAATAAGCGGCATTATCTCCTTTTACACGTATTGTATTTCATCGTAACATCTATATCCGTTTTTAGATCTTCGCGTTTCATTACAGCGTTAACGAGATTTTAAGATTTACGTAACACCCACGATATACTCTCGTGAAAATGTATATGCGATTGATTAACAAATTCAGTAAGTATAAGGATAATATATGCACAAAATGGTACGAGATAAAACGAAAACACACGAAACGAACTCTTTCCGTTCAATCCGATACTTCAAAATTATTCCTTCTGGAACAGTTCCATCTGAGCTAAGTATTTACATACCGACGATCTCTCCTAGTGCCATTCCCTTTCTTCGCTAATTTCGTTGAAAGTTAAGCCGCTGCATTAGGATGTATTTGCTCTGATTGCAAATTGCCTGTAAACGTTAGCCGTACACAAATCAAATTATCTTGGTATATGTTTGTTTCGGAATAAATATGTACACATCTGTACAGGTGCATACGGAGGAACGTGCACATTCGAAACGTTCGTTGGCTAACGAACCGAAGCGTTTTCGGAATGTCAAAAAGCTCGGCCATCGTCGTCAGTGGGCCCGCTTTCCTATTTCCTTCTCGATCTTTGCTACCGGAAGTTGTTCGCGTTTCTCTCGTGATCCAATAGCCATCCAAGCTTGCCGGAAATGTCTTAAGGCGCTTTTCCAAGAAAGACCGTGTCTTTGATTCGAATGCTCGTTTCAACGAAAATAATCCTGCATTCGTTCTCTTATCCCGAAAGGAATTCCGAGAAAGCCATTCTTTTCATTTTGATAATTGGCGAGGCTGCGTTTTGTATCGAAATATCTTGCCATTAAATGTAAATGATGACTTTACAAATTAAATTTTCGAGCTTGTAGATAACTGGTCGAACATAATATTAGATTAATATTTATGAAATGTCGTATTTCTGTATGAAATTTTGTCCCGTCCGCAATTATCAACCGCGTTAAACGAGATTTTGCTGTGAATTATGTTTATTCGTATTCGTATGATTTAGATACGTACAATTCGTTATTCATGTTGCGCAGACAATTGAGAGCTCGTAAGAAAAACAGTCCTAATCGAATTTTTCAACTTTTTACATAACGATCCTTGGACCATTCGCATCTCATCTTACAGGATCTTACAGGATCTTACAGGATCTTACCGAACGACATAATCGACCGCAACTGCAATTTTGTTATTCTTTATTTCTTATGAAAAAATATATTACGCTATATTTTAAGCTGTATATCTATATTCATACTCGTCACAACGAAAAGGGATCGTACAAATATCGGAAAAGATAATTTAAGAAACGACCACCATCTAGCTGAATGCTTAGACGATGAATTTTAACAATTTTAACTCTATTCATCGTTGCGTTCAAGTTACCGTCATTAAGAGGAAGCCAAGCAAGTATATACTTGCAGATAAAAAGAGGCAAACTTTCGACTTGAATTTCGATCGACAAACTCTTGGGAAGAGCAGCTGATTAAATCGTCGAGGTTCTATCATAAAATCCATAGGGGCTGGTCGAACGAGTCTTAAATTACATTTCTAATTGCGCGAGCGTAGCGTTCAGACGAAACGTGGAAACTGGCTGCCATTCAATAACGAAATTCAATTACCGAGTGATCGATCTGTAAATTTAAAATCCACGACGATACGCCGTGCTCGATCCGCCGAAAGAAGAACGTTCGTTGGGAAAATCCGGCCGATTGTACGCGATGCGCGTTACCAGTCGTCGGTGCTTTTAACAGCCTCGTTAGCAGCACTGATAACGAGCGTATCGTCCGATTCGCTTTCGACCAAGCCTCGTACGTTCGATCGTCTACCTAACGTCTTGCCTTTTACGTGAGTCACGTTTCCTTCTGTCCGCAGATCGCGGAACTTCCGACGGCAGCATGGACTACAGTCTTCTGGTGGCGTGTTTCGCCGGTGGAATAACAGCCGTGTGCATCCTGATCGTCGGCATAACTCTGACACTGTATCGCCGTAACCATCCGATGCAATCGATGAAAACTCACACCGAAGTGGTGCGTTACGGCAACAAAGACGACAGAGTGGTTATAGCGCCGTTGAATAAGGAGACCAGCGACGAGATCAAAGGAGAAACGATCAACGATATGGCCGATGACGATCCTGACGTGATTCCAAGCAAGATGGATAAGAGGCCCGACATCTTCGAACCGAATTACGAGACTTCCAAGTCGGACAGAACGAAAGATTTCGGTCATTTGGAGGAGCTGGATTATCCGACGCCCTCGTCGGTCTTGCATACAAAGGACTCGTGGATCTATCCTAACGGCTACGTGAAAAAGGTGGAGAAGAGCTTGAGCCCGTTGCGACCCAGCACGCTTCCTGTCCATCGTAGTCACGATATTTACACGAGAAGTTCGCGTGTCCAAGAGAGCTGTATATAGGCGGTCCTGGTGCTTCGTCGACGATCGTGGCGTCACGACTGATGCTGACCAAATTGACGAGCCGCGACTCGTTTTCCGATACTCACCGACGAATTTTGCTCCAGCGTATGAGTTTTAACGTCCGATGCTCGCTTCGCAGGTTTTTGTTTCCATCCCATCGTTTGATCGTACAAGTAGCTTCCGAAATGAATGAGATACACGTTTGAAGAAGGTAGACAGTGGATGTGTTGGAATAAATTTTGGCAATTAATTTAACTCTGCGTAATACCGTACGATTTGGATGTTATTAACACACGCGTATGGTACGTACCAGTTATAATAGGTCGTAACGTATGAAATGCCGGTTCGAATGCTTCGGATTCTTCAGTTAGATCGTACCAAGGAGTACATTGTCCGAAGCGTGATAAACGCGGACTTATGTTCTCTTTCGTTGCGCGTATCTTCTGTCGAGGATCGTGTTTAAGGTTCTTCAAGATCCTCTTTGTAACGGTACAACGAGTACGCGCAAAATTGACATCACTTTTCTTCGTTTCAGGTGAGTTTAATTACTTTGATTACAAATGTGTGTTTCAACGTTGAAACTCGAATTGGAAGCGTCAGTTACTCTGCAAAAACCTAACGTAGTTGCTGATTTTCCAACGAAAATGCAGGTAACCGATCGCAACGTTTCTCTTCGTAAAAGCAAATAAAACTCCAATTATAGATGGGTGTAGAACGGGATCGTTCAAAGAACGACATTCTCGAGACTCGATGGAAACTTCTATGGATAGGTTTTATTCGCGTGAAAGAAGGAAAGAACGGACGCGGCTCACAGTTTACTATCCTATCGCGAAACTACGATTGACTCATGCCAAAAACGTTAAGCATGGTAAACGACGTTTGTAAATAGACAATAAGTACCGTTAAGATTCCCTCCTGAACTGTCAAGGTCGTACTTTTATTTTTCACATAGATCTTAATTAATCGTAAATATAAATGTAAAAAGGAGAGAATAACAGGCGATCATGCAGTGTCTCGTTCGTCACGACGTTTGTACATAGACAATAATTTTTCTTCCTTGAATGTTGGTCTCCCAGTCGAAAGCTTCCCGTACTCCCGATATCCATCGTCGCGTCGCGTCGCGTTGCGTCGGTACCGTGCTTTCGTGTTGAACGTTGTTTCGTATGAATATTTGGTGTATCGTGTGAGAATGAACGCGTTTCACCGGCAAACGCGTTTACGCTTGGTCAATCAATTGGTCGAACCTTTTAACGAGCATGTAAACGTTTGTATATATGAATAATAAACTTCGTTGTTTAATAAACTTGGAAGAAGAATTTGGTTTCTCAAGAATATACCCTGTGACGTTGAAGCAACGATGGAACGTAAGTAAGTAATAGGTTCTCGTTGATTCGGTTGGTAGGATAAACTGCGTTAGAAATCTGCAATATTACTAATTGTACGTGGCTTCTAACAAAATTGGATTTATTTCGCTACGCTGCTTTACCGAGTAGCTTTTCTCATAGAAAATGTCACTCGATATTTTTTGTGACGTTCACATTAACTAACAATTAAATATCGTCACTAATATCGATAACGACACAAGTAATTACTCGAAAACTAAGAGAAACTTGATCGATGGTTCTAATATAATTGTCTATAACTAACTTTGTACGTAACCTGAAAATATCAAATACGAAAGTCGGCCGATTTATAACTCGTAACGTTTGCGAAACTCTATCTTTATCGATGACGTGCAATTTTTTAAATTTCACAAACGCGAATATACAGTTTCTCGGCCTCATGGCCGACGTTAGTCGATACACGGCACAGATAAAAACGAACTACAACCGAATTCGTAATTGGTTACTCTTCGCTTTACCGTACAATCGATTTCTAGTACTTTTTGATTTATCTGTTGCAAAAAAAGCGACATATTTGAAGCGTTGCGTCGTTTCCTAACTCTGGACACGACGCGGAGGACATCGAATTGCGCTCTCTGCGGAATCACAACGAATACGGCTTTACATAAATTCCAACTGCAATTCCAGTTTGACAGCAGACTGTTTCTCTTCCATTAACTCTTCGACGTTTGGAATACTGTTGACTGATTCTGGACGTATAGGCAGCGATTTGCTGGACCGGCTGATATTTCAGTAAGCCGCTTATCCCTTGCCGCGGATCTAGAGATCTCCTCCAGCGGCTCGTTTAACGTATACCATCGCGTACACACGATTCATGCAGCACAGATTTCAGTGCACACGCGGCTTGACATTGCAACGGAGATCTAGACGACGATGGCCAACGATAAATCACATCGTTAGGACAAGGCTGTTCCTAGCGAATCTCGTTTCACGCTACCTGGAAATAAACTACCGGTAATGTATTCCTTCCGCAGACACACGTCAGTTGACCGTACCGTACGACTTATCGTTGGCGGCATTATGGTGGAAATCTAACGAATAAGGATAAAAATTGCGAACAACGTTCTAGATTTCATAGAAAGAACTTTTAAATAGAACGTTGTTTTGTCGACAACGCGAATCAAGCCGATGGGATTAATTAATTTTTCACGATAGCAATTATACGGTTAAACACAGAGTATGCACAATCTATGTTTTCTACACGGATATTCGAGAGATCATTTGTTCGTTTCTCTTTGTTTCGTCGGCGATTCTCTTACGTAAAGCATGAAAATAATTACTCTTTCCCCGTTTCGTTTCTTTCAACTTGTTAATTTCGCTGCTAAACAGATACCGCGTTCGAAATTTTTACAGCGTAACCTGCACACTCTGTTGGGACGAAACAATCGATCATCCTAACAGTTTATGAAACTCATTTAACGCAATTTGTTTTATTTTCAACTTCGCTTTCTGTTGTAACTTTATTTTAAATTTTCCTCTACCGATTTATCATCGCGAAGGAAGTTGCAAATAAAGTATGATCCTCGATGTATTTACTTATTTAGTATTAAATTGTTATTTATTTATTTAGTATTATCTATCTTATACGCCAATAAGAAAAAGCAATAAATTTCTCAAGATGGATTAAATCAGTGTTTGCTTTATAATTGTTGTTATTTCTATACTCAGAGGTAGGATCAGAATAGTTATTATTTTGTTGACTGGATAAATCTATCACACCGTTCTGAGCCAAAAAAACCTTTATCGCACTCGCTTACAAAAACTAGGGTTAAAAACAAAAAGGCATCTTAAGCCTATCGATTAAATCTATCGATCGCAATCAGGATCGTCCTCTAGTTACTATACCGAATACTATATACTACTACTATACCTACTATATTCCGAATATGAAAGTGATAAATTTACAATACAGTAGTTCTCACGATACACGAGTATGTGTAAGATTCGACACGATTCCTCTTTTTTTTCCATTAGTGATCGTATAACAGAACATTCGGATAAAATCCTTGATCACTGCAGGTCTCACAGCGATTGAATATTTAAATATTCTATTTTTAAGTTGAAAAATTCTAAATTCATTCGTCTTTCGTACCTCGCCATTTGTTGCACCAGAAATACAAAAAAGAGGTCAATAGATAAACTTTGACGCGAGAAGATGTTAGACAAAATTGGAGTAAGCTGTGGATCCAAAATTCTAGAATTCCTCTTAGGATGAAACGAGAGAATTCCCTTTGTTCTTCTATGTTTTATATATGGCCTGATCGAAAGAAGACATCAGATATCAATAACTCAAACATCCTGTATATCCAACTACTGCCTTCCTCGTGATATTCCTGGATCTCCGCGAGTAACTGGCCAACCTTATAACCTATGTGCTTATCACCGGCTCGTGACAGTATTTTCAGCGCGAACCGAGACGCTGATACGGCGGCCGGTTCTTTCGTGCTCCTTCCAAAATTTATGACGGACGCCTTAACGTTTGGGCGTCTCGTAAATTCTGTCCGTTCTCGCCGAGAACACAAGACGCGTATTTTCTTTTCGAGAGAATGATTTTCGCGATTAGTCGACGAAACCCCGTGAAACTTTCTTGCCATATACGCGCATACAAAATGGACTGGAGACTAAGAAACGTTATATCATGTTGTATTATATTCGTTAACGTTAGATCGTAATACAGAGTGTCAGAAGACGAGTACTCGTAAGACTTTAAGAGCTATTTTTCAAATATTCGATTTAATTTCTTGTTAGGATAGTTCGATCCACGCCCGAATGAATACAGATTGTTCTAATCGCACGAATCATTCTATCGTATAGGCGTCTCTTGATTTTAATTTCTTACTACGTGCGTACTTCAACGAAGAACCATCGAAGTGTGAATGTTAGGAGGAAAATTACGGATAGACATACGACGAGTAAATTTCTTTAAATTGCCCATGTCACATACGAAGCTTGCTATGGTTTTACGTTACTCTGTCGTATGTACCGTGTCGTTGTAGATACATATTTGACTCTGTTTCTGTACTTCTCAATTCATGTTCTGGAATTACGAATTGAAATTCGTTCGAGGTACTTTGAAAGTGTAACTTATCGTGACTAGGGTACAAATGGCGTTTGGACAATAGGCGAAAGGAAACACGAGAACTGTGCCGGACGGTCGAGATATTTCGCGGTCGTTGATTTGGAAATTTAATAAGAAACGAGAAGGAAGGGGGAGTTGAGAAAGCGGGACCAGACCACCGGGCTGTTCGCCTGGTTTTATCTTCGTTTCCGTGTCGTCGCCTTCTCCTTTTTGCGCCCCGTACATCCTACGCGTCGTCCATCGTGGCGGAAGACTAATATCCGCATTAAAAATTTAATTATAAAGCAGTACCGAGCGATTCGCTTCTGCCTCGGCGGTCGCACCGGGGATGACGTCTTGATTATGGTCATTAGATTATAACGAGCCAAGCTGTTGTTGCACGGATGTCCTGCTGATCCAAAGTGTCGAATATGGTGGTCGAACTCTACGAATCGTCGAGATGTCGCTTTCGCGTGATAAGTTTCGCGTAACGTTGTATTAAAAGTAGTTTAAATACAATTGGTGTTCGTTTTGTTGGCAAAAGAATTTTTCTTCTAACTATTCCTACGATAATACGTTAACTATAAAATATGAAATACTTAGCTGGCGTTTCCTTTAATTAAGAATTTAAGTAGTTCGAACGTTCCTTCAGAGGTCGACATAAAACGAAATTGCGAGGAACTCGCGGATAAAGTTGTATTTCGAATATTAAAATTTACAACTCGCTGCTCACAGGCCAACAAGCTCGCAATTCGCAATACGATCGAAGTGTAAGCTCTCGTTAACTGTAATTCATGTTCGATATCCATCACCGTGAACCGAAAGCGAGCTCGCCAAAGGCCTAGAACGAATTTTGCGTGCACCTGCAAATTAGAAACATCGGAATATTATTCCGCCATGATATCTGCGCTTTTATCGTGTGTTTTTACAGCCAGAGAATCACGTTGCTTACTGTGTAACGCGATATGAAAAATTTCGCAGAGCAAAGTCGATCCTTTTTACTTCGCGGAATATCGTACTTTGGCAACAGTATCTGAAATTTACCGCTATGTATCTCTATGTATCTTTCCGCTGATGAGGAAAAATGTTGTCAAATAAAAACCGCTTCGATACAGCGCGACATATCGCGAAGTAACTTCTGTTTTTCTTGAAAATATTAAGATCGTTCTGTTGTAGCCATTTCTTTCAACTACGAGAACGCGATGTTCGATTTTCTGTTGTTTAAACTTGAACGTATTTCTTTCTTTTCGTTCGAAGCTCAGAAATGTATCGATTTTGTTGCAAGCAGTGACATTATATTGGTTTGTCTGGAAAATTCGTAGGTAAATTCGAGAAAACTATTCAAGGGTCATCTATTTTGCCGAAGTTTACATTTCATCGAATAACATAGACAGCTTTTGTTTCACTGTCTGAATTCTTCCTGTTTTCGATAATATTTCTCGGATTAGATTAATCGTTATTATATAAATCTTTGGAACTTTCCGCTGTTTTTCTAAGACGAAGAAACGTTTTACAATAGAAGAGTTAAAAGTAACCATTTATTTTGTCTCTTTTCTTCTAATTCGAAGATATCAAATTCCTCAAAACTATTGGTACGACGCGTCACATTGTTATACGACGTTCGATTAAACGTTTCGTCGTAATAATCCAAAACGAGTAGCTATACGCGAAGATTCATCGACGATACGTGATAATAAACATCGCGGGAGAAGGAATATCGCATGCTCGCGAGCTATAAAAGCGGAAGCAGCTTCTAGATTCGAAATAAATATTTTTCGCAAAGTTGAAACGTTGCCAAGGAAAAGCGAACTAAGTCTGCCCTTAAGGTTAATAGTTTCGCAAACAAAAATTTATAGAACATTGTTTATTCAGAATCACTCTAACGATAAGAGTGATTTCACACCGGCCAAAGAGCACCGTGTACACTCATCCTTCAATCTCATTTCGCGCTCAGAAATTCCTGATGGTTTCCGAGGCAACAGGGACTCACCGATCCTCATCAAAATTTCAAAGGGCAACGTTTTCGACCCATCACGCTCGTAAATTCCGCGCGTTGCACGGTTACGTCATGCTCGAAGGAGATTTATCTCTTCATCGACGCAGCTCGATTCGAAACTTCTCTCTACTCCGTTCGCAAGGATTTGTATCAACCGAGAAAGAGCGGTCAGAGAAGAAAGGGCAAGGATGCACAGGGGAAAACTTTCTTTCTCCGACCAAATAAACTTGGACGTCGACGAGCGAAAAAGTGTATTGCCGAGGTTGAATGCCTCGTGAGGACAGTGGCGTGGCACCGACTTTCCAAATCGGCAATATCGGAGATATCGTAAAATTTTATAACATCGTGCCTTCGTCTTCTTTCGTGGCGATTTGTCTGGATATTTTCCAGCAAACCGATATCTCTTATAAGCGAGTAATCTTCAGAAAGTTAATTCAGGCAAAAGATTTATGCCAGCGTGTATCGTTGCTGGACTGGGGCGTTGGCGCGTTTATGCAAAATTTAAAGATTCAAAAATCTGCAAAATGCGCGTAACGCGAAGAAATATGCAAATTGATAGATTCGACGAACGTGTTCCTGTTCTTGCGCGTTTGAACAAAAAGATTTACGGAGCACGACGATAATTTTACTAGTAAAATTCGAATTGGCCAAAATTCGATTCTTCTTTTCAGAGTCGAGGCGAACTAAGGAACGTGCCGCGGACGAAACAAGAGAATTTTTGCATTTTCGACGATCGACCAAGAACGTTCTCGTCCTCGTGTTTCAGCCTATTTCGTGTTAAGGAATTTTACCAACTATCCACAGCGATTTACATAGCGATGTAAGATAATTACGTCGGATTCAAAGGGCGTAATGGAGTAGTGGTTTTTCTACGCCCTGCCACGTTTCGTATTAACCGCTTTGTAGAAGCAACTCAAAAGAGCTCTTCACGGTCTGACACTGACTGTTCCTTTCGCAATTTATTGGACGTTTTCGCTCCGTGTTTTACGTTGGCTACGCGACTACTACGTGCGATTTATTCTCCGCAACTTTGCTTGTTCGAAGTAATGAGAGCAAATTGCTGGTCCGTGAGGAAAAGAAAAACAGGAAACAAAGCAGGCCTTTTAAAATAGAACAGCTGTATCTTCGGTGTTATTCAAATATCGTTCCATCATCTGGATATCTCGAAGGACTTCGAACGTCTTTGGTATATTACGTAATATGGTAGCCAAATATTTTATATTTGTTAATGGGCTTATTGGCTTTAGAAGATTTCTATGTACGAGGCAAGTAAAGAATTTACGGTTGTGCAGTGTGCAGTAGACTATCGCGTTAGAATTCAACCTAACGAGAAGAATTATACGTAATTTGGGAGAAAAACTTTGCCAAAGCGAGCAGTACGAGTTCGCGACTGTGAGTTACTGATATTCTCAAACTCGTAAAGATGTATTTAAAATTCTTTCGTCTCGGTAAGTTTTTATCGATTCGTATCTTTTTATATGTTTCAAGCAAAGAGGAAACATTATCTATAAAGTCACAAATTTATAGTGAGTATTTTTCAAAACTAAAAATAACATCGACTAGTAGAATAAAATAATAACGATATCATTCTGCGATCGCGTTTAACCGCAACATAATTTTTGTTATCTTATTTTTTTCGTCACGTTTATGTTAATCGTACGTATTAGAGTAAAAGAGGTCCTTCGCGCGAAAATACAGTCGGGTAACTATGGTACTGCAAATAACATAATTCTTCCTTAAGCGCACCTAGTTATATAACATTTCTTTTTAAACGAAACGTTATGCTTCTTTATTCCGCGTTTAATTTAACATTTAATAAAGACGTACAATTTAAAGACACGCGCGTAGCGAAGCGATTCTAATTTATTCGCCATCCTTTCTCGCTTTATTCCCTTTTTGGTGGAATTTTGAAACGCGGCTACCGTGTGCGCTTTTGAAAATATGAACGCAACTCGAAAGAAAAGAAAAAGGGGGAAACAGGGATAATATATACGCGGGGCAATAGACATACTTTTAAGGTTACGCTTGAACATATCATGAATGCATTTTACATTTATTTTACTGGACCGTAATCCTCGTACTCGAGACTTTTAGTCCTGTATACGCGAATACTTGCAGGAAAAATTGTATCTCCTTAGTTTCCACTAAGATGCAACGTCACGTCGACAAATAGAAACCTTTACGTGACTACGATTTTAACACTATATAACGCGTGATAAACATTCTACGATCATAGGCGTATCTCAAATTTCAATTTCGTGTCCTACGCCCAAATTTTCAATTTTGCATATTTTTAGGATTTCCAACTTTTAGATCTATCGAAAGGAAATAAAGTTCATTTTCTAAATATCGTCTCGTTTTTAAAAACGTCGTTCGTCGCTACGTATTCGTCCTTTGTGCGTGAAACGAAGAATTTATTTCTCAAATTATTATCTGGTAACAGTGGCGTAACTTTTTCGACATTCTAAAACGTAAAGCGTAAATATAAGCAGCACGACAGCAGAGTATCGATAAAATCGTTCTTACACGTTTGAAAATTAACGGGTGGTTTTGTCGAGCAACGATAACAAGATCTGGTTAAATCAACGGCACGAAAAAGTTCGACCAAACACGCCAATTATTCGAAATATTTTCACGATCGAAAATTCAAATCGATGCGCCAAATGCGGATCGGAACTTATAACGCGAAATTATAGCGACATTAATAGATGCATTATAATCCTGCCTATTCACTTGTACAAATAGGTTTAGTAAGCGATCCACAGCGTCGCTCTTACTACGACATACATAGACTATGCACGTACGATGGCGATGATGCTCTTTATTCGATAAAAAATTCAATGTAATTAGAAATCGCAAAAATTGTGAATTTCTTTCTTTCGTACAATCTTTTATTCTTTCTTATTTACTCGGTTATCGACTTATTTATTCATTTCGCAAAAAATTGTAACACACTGCGAGTAGTAAATTGTAAGGTAAGAGGAGTATAAGAAAAATAATAATACATCGTATGTAGTTGTATCCCATTCATAGGTATAATTTGTTTAATAGCATACAAAGTAATTCCTTGGAAATTTAAATTATTTTAATAATACGATAACTCTATTATTTTTCTACGCATCGATTATTTTAGTCTCGGTACTCGTATCACGATCGTTCCGAAGCTGGTTACAAATCAACAGTATGCTGTTCGGACACACGTATCAAGGCGTAAAATTTTATGCCATCTCCAAATTATTTCGCGCGATATGTTTTAATTACGAACAATTATAGTTCCTTTTAGACGAAAGTATGCGTCGCAAAAATCCACCTACACGGGACAAGAATAAGCGCTCGGTAATAAAAAGGAATACAAGTAAGCGAGCACGTCATCGTGAACGTGTTAACCTTTCGAAGTTCCAAACTTTTGTAACGGCAATTATAAAAGTTTAAAAATAATCAGATGACGTCGATATTTAATCGGCGATAATTAATTACTCGTTATTCTTAGGCCAGGTCGATATTATACATATATTTATAATTCTGGATTTGTCTGCTTCTTTAAATAAAAATGAAACCTAAAGGTTAATTTATATCGATATTTAACGGTGCTCTGTTTCTCAGCGTCGTTTAATTAAATACCGTGTAAAATGCGAGTAAGGCTAGAATTTACTTTGCTTTTAAAATATGTATGTTTAAACTTTTACGTGCTAAGCTATAACACGAAACTGCAACGTCATAAAATATTTTACGTGCTTCCCCTTTTGTTTTTCTTGACATATTACCACGAAAACGAACGCAGCTTTTCTATTATATTTTAATGCACACGTTGTTCGGTTCGTATTCCTATCTTATTAAACCATCTTTATTCGTCGGTATAAATTCTTGGAACGTAATAGTGCCACCTTCGAACGTACGAGTTCCGTACCGTATCGCGAATGTACGACTTCATTTTCCGTATATTTATTTCAAATGCAAACTTAAACGCAATATTTATACGATGGAAAATTGAATAGAGAAAATTAGATGAAATACGTTTATTCCCAGTCATACTTTTGCGCGTGTAGATAATTTATAATTTCACCAACTAATTAATGCATTTCGTTATATTTTATTTGCACCGAATAATTTTGTTAAGCTTAATAGCATAAATTATGATTCTATGTGGAGTACAGTAAAATATTTGATTAATGCTATCTCGTTAAATGATTCGCCTCGACGAATTAAAATAACGAAACGTTATTTTATCAACCATTCGTTTGCTTTAAGAGTAGAGAGGAGAAACTCGTTAATAAATGATATTAGTTTCAAAAAAAAAAAAAAAAAAAGTAGCTACACATAAAGCGTAGAGGTATCCGCGTTAAAGTGGAGCGAAACACTCCTGAACCATCGTACAACGATCAATCATCGCACAATTAATACAATTGATACAATTAATACAAGATCAAAATATTTATCATTACGATGTTGCTCTATTCGTTGGTCCTCGCCAAAAAAAAAGCATACGTTTAAACATTTTGTTAAAAAAAAAAAAAAAAAAAAAGTAGCTACACATAAAGCGTAGAGGTATCCGCGTTAAAGTGGAGCGAAACACTCCTGAACCATCGTACAACGATCAATCATCGCACAATTAATACAATTGATACAATTAATACAAGATCAAAATATTTATCATTACGATGTTGCTCTATTCGTTGGTCCTCGCCAAAAAAAAAGCATACGTTTAAACATTCGCTCGGATCGCTACGCTTATTCATAGCCTGCGTCTCTTACGACTCGATGCACGCTCTTTTTCCACCTTACGCGAATTCGAAGAACGTCAGGACGCGTAACGCGTAACCATCTACTCCGGAGTCTTAAGAAATTGTTGAGAGAATCGTTTCGCAAGACGGGGAGGTATCGCGGTGTTCTTGTTGAAAGCGCAATGTCGAGGCAGTCGGCGAAAAATGTGCGACAAGGTGACAGGAAGGGTGAAGGGGCTGGAAATCACGGTAAAAGGAGAGACAGAAGGGCGTAGATGCCGATGGAAGGGTGCCAGGCTGAAGTAGTCCGGCACTTTACGAAATGAGATACACCCACGCCTATAAAAAGCCAACCACACCTATGTGTACGCGATATACCAGCCCTGTGAGCTGCCGCTCAAGGCTAGCGATTTCAATTTTCAATCGCCATCGCGATGGAAAATCATCGACGGCCTCTCGATTGCTGACGGTCTGCGAGCTGAATCGTTTCATCGTTCTGTCTATTTTCTTCGTGGATTGTCGATTTTCCTCGTGCGCGATGCAACGGCGGAGACGGCGTAACGTCAAAATAGAAGATTCGGTGGAATTAAATAAATAATCAAGCGATTAAATGGAATATATTTGTTTCACGGGACATATACAAATATTTATAAATAATACCGGGCTGTTGGATTTTTGTCGCGATCAAAAATAGGATAACGTACCTGTGCATAAATGAAAAAGATAAGAGAAGTCTAATAACAAATGAGTAATTTCTTCCAGCGACTGGACCATATTTCATAACTTGAACGAAAGTCCATTTACGAGTCGGATAACCTTCCTACCTCTTCATTTATTTGCCTTTAACGATTTTTCCTGGAATATCTATCTTCATAGGCCGGCTTCTACATCCGATATTTTCACCCTTCTCTTCAAGCCACCTAAATCTTTCCTGCGACTTTACATCTGGCAATCGAGTGTTAAACGGCTGGCAAGAATCAATAATTTCGGTATATAGGGTGTTTCACGACAAATGCGTAAAATCGTGGAAGATCATCTCGCGCGTGTGTAACTCCGTTAAAAAATAACGTAGATCGTAAAATTGCGAGAGGATTTAGTTGTAGGAAAATTCCACTCGTTTTGTATATTATAATACTTAACTTCTAAAACTCTCAGGCATATCTACTGGCGAAGAAACCGTACTTTCGATAGAATGTTCAGAAACCAAAGACTAATAATAGCTGAAAAAGAAGGAATCCCGAAACTTTATGATATTTCAGGCAATGAAACTTATCGAGACAGCCTCCTAGATCTAGATACATTTTACTCTTAAAATTCATATTACGCGAATTTCACAGAACTTCTCAATTTTGCCCTCACCTTTCGATAAACAGATCAGGCGTATATCATTTCAAAAAAGGCGGAAACCATTCTTTCGATGGTCCTGGAAGATATACTCGAGCAATCATTGGAGGATGCAAGGAACTTAGCGGTGACCGCTGGCAAGAGCAGCGTGACCCGCGAAGAAATGGAAAAGTCGCTGAGAAATCTTTGTCTTCGTTTGAGTACGGTGCCGGCATACAGCGCGAGAATCGGCTCCTGGAACGACGACGAGGACGAGAGTAACAAGGGTCCTGTCGACTCGTCCAAGGTTGGTCGAACGAAGAAAAACAGATAGAATAAAAAAAAAAAAGTTACACTCGAAGGCCGCAGCAACTGGATCGCCCCTCGTCGATAAACAAAATAGGTTGTTTCAGAAGGTTCACGGCATCGCTGCTGTACCTCGTCACGCTGTCACGGGGACTGCAGTCACAAAATAGTGACCATCTATCGCAATCTACGTTTCCTTCGGTAATCGTTAGTGCAATCGATGTGCATCCGTGTTTCGTGGGAAATAAAAAATATTTTAAACTGATCTACCTTATGTTTCAATTTTTATATGATCTGTTTCAGACGTATTGTGGATTAGGAGATGAAACTTTTAGAGAGTTTCAATTCGAAAATTTAGCTTTTTTAATTAGAAACGGATAGAGAACAGCTTGGGAGGAAGGAATTTGTTGTTGGTATTCCGGTGAGAAATTTCAAAAAATGTTACATTTACTTTAAAGACGCATGATCTCCGCGATATTGCGCGGAGAAATTGCTATTAATGACATTAAAGATGTAATTTTTTTGCTTGATAAAGCAAGCGATTCTGTTTCACTTTTAGAACTTTGTATCCGTTACTTTTTGTAAAACGTAGTCGTGAAATTATTATAGAAATATAACAACTCAATAATGCTGAAATTAATGTAAGAGTATAAAAAATATCAGTGACGAAAGAGATAAATAAATTAATCGAAACGAAGTAAAATTAGGCGAAGTAAAGAAAGTGGGACGAATATTTTGAAAATGCGTCGTGTTAGAGTTTATACGATATTAAATTAATATACACACAGGCCAAGATTGTTTTAATAAATCACCTGTCAACTGCTTTGAAAAGTATTAAAAATATCAAATATATTTTTCCTCCTACCCATTTATCATTTTAATTTTGTGTTTAAAAAGTTGAAATTTACTTAATACGAACGTACTTTGGCAGAAGGGTAGTTCGTATCCAACTTTAACTTTAATAACGTTTTATCGGTTTTTATCGATGTATTTAAGTAATTAGAACACTAAGTAACCGAAGTAACTTGCCTTGCACATTTTATAAGCATATTACATATATAAGCTTTGAAATAGATCGAATAAGATGTTTTACTTATTGTTCGTCTTTGCTTAAGCCGTTGCACGACGATAATTAATTTTTAACGAGAGAGGAAGATCAACATAATGAAAGAATGCTAACCAAATTTTGGACGAACAGCGCTTGCGATACTTTACGCGTTTACGAACTTTGCAAAAGAAGATAAAGAATTAGAAGCGACTGAAAATATTCCCTACAGTCTTTAGTGTAATCTCTCTACACGGTATATGGAGTGTAATAGAGATGATTTTCGAGGCACCAGGGAGATTTTCACCAAAAAGGGAAATGTCGTCCAGCGTAGGAGAAGCGAGGACTTTATAAAAAATAGAAACAAATTCTTTGTTTCGAAGGCGGCTCCTTTACCTAACGTTTCAAGTTGTATTAGGATCTAGAGGCTTAGCAAATTATATCTTTTACACGAAATTAGAAAGTATCGAATAAAATAGAATGTCCGATCTACGATAGACGAACAACAGAGTCCCGGAAGGTTAAATGCACGCCAACTTCTGAAAAACGTATTAGAAAGCTGCCATTACGTTCCTCGATTTACCCTAATCATCGGTAATAGGCGTATCGTCAAATCGAAACCACATCTAATTGAATATTAGTCCACTTTTTCTAGAAGATGCCCCGCCGCGTGAAAGATCGAAACGAATTATTTTGCCTCTCCGCTTGATAATTAGTCGCAATCGCGTTCTAATTAATAATCGCTTTAGAGAAACGTCTATTTATACAAGCGCGGAGCGGCGCGGCACGGTGTTAGACTAAACAATCTTCGAAGCAATCAAGGTGGTCCGGTTAAACCTGAAATTAACTGAAAACAAATTAATTTCAGTCTCACGCCGGTCTGGTCGGGAACCCTTTCATACCTGAGGACCTGTGAAACCCTATAACCACGCCTCCTCGGCTTTCTCTGAAATAATTACACTAACTTGATCAGATCCTAATTAAATAGTAAACTTCTCGCATCCTTCCCAAATCCTTCGACGTCTCTAATTCCATCCAAATACGATTCACCAAGCTGCTTCGACTAAATGGAAATCCCGCATAAGAATCCGCAGGACATTTTCGTCGAAGCTGAATCAACGGTAAAGTACGACTCCGCGAGTGCCTGTTGTTCGTTTTAGTACGCACAGGTTGAAACTATTTCGTCAGAAATCGATGTGACAACGATGAATACGAGAAACACGCGAAACGTTTGAACCTTGTGAAACGGTATAATTTAAAAGCTACACTCGCCCAAAACGTGTTAAACGCGTTTTAGACTGTTTTCGAGGTTGCCGTTCAATTATCGGTCGGTCGGTGGACGTACCGACAATGAATCGATGTTTATCGTGGTACGAATACCAGTACTCGCCTTCGTAAATGAACTTGTACCAGTACACAGCCTGAACCCCGTTCTTGGCCGGTCGTTGTCGAATATCTCTGGGGCTTCAGTGGCGCGTTGGAAAGTTGGCGTTCCCGAAATTCTTCGAATTCGTCATGGCGGTGCCGGCGAG